AACCTTTAAAATTTCCCTTCCCTTCCCTTCCCTTCCCTTCCTTCTTCCTTCTCTCCCTCCCAGGCTGCATAATCCTTTTAACCACCTAATTATTTTTTTCTGTCCTCTCCTTAACTGACTTTCTGAAACAGATCTTTACATCATGTCTTCAGAAGGGAATGCCATGTAGCAAATAAATTAAAAATCATTGGATTGATGTAATTGATTAATGTTCATAAGTTGGTTATTGTAAGCCTGTAAGTCTATTACTGGCCTCAGGATAAGAATAGAGACACCATAGTTTGAGATGGCAAAACCCGTAAAGACTTTTTTGACTGTTAGAGGTACATTCCAAAAGAAACAGTTACATTTAGAAAGGATTAAGTGGAGAAAAGAAAGGGCTGGAAAATTTTAAAGGTTGCTTTGATGTTTGTTTAACTTACCACTCAACAACTTCTTCATACCTAGGTTGCTACTTTGGGACTGTGATGATCGGAGCTATAGCTACTACATTGAGGTTTCAACAAATCAGCAACAGTGGACCATGGTGGTGGATCGCACAAAAATTTCCTGCAAGTAAGTTTAGTTTTTTCCACTCACTGGCGCAAATTAAGAACTGGGAGCTGAGGTTTTTGGTGGGTTTTGTGTTCACTAGTTGACATAGATACTGTGAAAAGAATGATCATTGCATAACCTGTAGATCAATGCAAGACTTTCAAACTGTGAATTTTAAGAATCAGTTTCTTAAGATTGGTACTGGATCTTCAGACAATCAGTTGTATTCTTCATTCATAAAAAAGTCTGCCTACTATACCCTTGGTTTTGTGATTACTAGCAGTTAAACTGTTTTTCTGGAGGTCCCATGTTTATGGTGATCCCTGATGTCAAAACACCCTGCCTTGAGAAATGTAGTAGGAGAGGGAAGAGAGTATACTTGGTGTCCTAGGGTGACTTTATGATGTTTGTATTGCCAGTTGTCTGTTCTGTTTATACTAGATACTATGTTGTGCACCTTTAATACTAGTTCCAAAAACAAAAGAAGAAAAAAACCCGCACAATTTGTTTTCAAAAGCTACACTCGCTCCTCCACATTCTTCTCCTAGACTGTGTTGTCTGCAGTACAGACAAACAGCAAAAAAAGTTCTCCTTTACTTTTAATTAAATTTTTTATCTAGCTAAAGCAAAAAAATTCCCCAAACTATAGTTTTTTCTTTTTCTTAAAACTGTTCAAATGTACTCTAAACTAAAAACAAAAAAAAACCACCAAAAACTCACACCTAAAACCCACCAAGACTAAGACACTACATTCCAGTGACAAAAAATAATCAAAAACTAAATAAGCCAAGCTACTCATCATAAAAAAAACTTTATAAAATTGCCATCTCTTGAAAACAACAAAAAACTTTATTTTTAATATTATTCATTTTTTAAATGCTTATCAACACTTGGCTTATTAAATAAACAATTTTTCCAAGCCAATTAAAAAAAAAACAAACCACACTTACGTTCTAAAAAAACTCCATTCAAAAGTTTCTTCCCAAATTTACCCTAAACCAAAACAAATACACTTGGTAAAGGATTTTGCTAATCAAATGTTTTTCTCCCTTATCAAATTGCATAAATGTACTGTATGACATCTGAAGAGAGTGGGGAGAGTGATGGTAAGAACCAAACCATAATAGAGCACACAGTTGCAAAAGTTTGACCACACAGTTGCAAAAGTCTCTGTTCAAAAGTAGTGTACCTGACTTAAGCACTGAACAATGCTTTTGAAAAGCACCCTTCCAGAGAAAAAGAGTAATCCTTAAGCAGAGATAAAGAAGAGAGAAAAACTTCCATTTTCATTTGAATACTTGAATCAGGAGAAATCAGGCATTAGTACTCTCCACGTGTATACTCTCTCTTGGCTTTACTGCAGTTTCTACTGATAAAATCCATTCCTCAAGTATGGAAGAATAATTTAGTGCTGAGAGCCTTCTTAAACTATGTGATGATGGTTCTAATTCCTGGCAAAGAATGACCTAGAACACTCGTCATGGTACTGCAAAGACAGTCTGCAAATTTATATATTATGTATCCAGAGGTCAGGCATGCTCAGAATTTAGTGATTGTTGATGGGTTGTGGTTTCCTGATTAACCCCAGGGAAGCTCAGAATTACAAAAATCTTACATCTTTCATTTTCCCTGAGTCAGTTTTTTATAAGGTGTGCTTTCCTTCCTTGGACAAAATTCAAGTCATCAGCTTATATGGGGTCAGCCCCCACCCATCTTGTAGTTGTGCCAACCAAAACAAAATTGATTTTACAAGTTCAGAGGCATTCTGAATATTCAGTTTGTCACATTAAGCAAGAGAGTAACTCAGTCCTTTGCAGCAGCACTGCTGACACACGTTTTTCTAAAGTTTGTGTTTCATCTCTTAACAAACAGTGTGATTTCAAATGCTTTACAATGCACTCTAGATATGTTGGTGAAGGAGAATTTGACACGCCCTTTCAGTGCCTGTAAAGGGCAGGGTATTGATGAGCAGAAAACCTGGGTTCTGCCTGCAGGTCTGGAGAATGACTAAATCTTTATTCGTTCTCAAAGACATCTCAGTGTAATAGATAAAACTCGCCTTTTTGTCTGCCTCCAGCAGTGGGAGCACTAAAAGGCTGAAACCACAAAAGGGAGAGAAAGATATATCATGAATCTTTGTGCACGTCTTCCTTTTACATTTTGATATTGAAAGCCTTGTAACAGTGAAAAGGAGCACTTGCTTAAATATACACTGTTCAGGTGAAATTCCTGGTAGACTGCCCAGTTCTAATATATTTCCACCATGTTCAAACCATGGTTTTTTACTTTTTTTGGTATTTTCAAAGCCTTAGCCTTGAGCAAATAAAGGTACATCCCTGAAGTAAAGATAGCTGCCTTCTTTGGGTATACTTCAAAATCTAGATTCAAAACATAGGTACTCTGGAAGTTCTCAAAAAAATGGCTGCAGGAACAATTTTCATGTGGATTAAAGAATTTCATTTTGCCTAACTTCTTGCTCTGACAGATGAGCAGTCAGCTGGCATAATGCCAGTCTTTATTCTTGAAGTCTACAGACTATAGAGTGTCCTAGCACTGTCTGTAACTATCTGCTTTAAACAGATAAAAAGACCTGGTCACGAAGCTTCCAGAGCTCGCTGGCCATCAACTTTCAGGTGATTTCTTTGCATCTGATAGCATTTTTTTATGTTCAATTTATATCTCTTGCCTTTATGATCAGAAATACAGACTGCGGTTTTTTTCAGTCAAAGAAAGCTAAATATGTTTCATTTTATCTTCAGGTATGATTTGCAGAAATGCTGAGGTTACTTCAGCTCAAAAATTACTTGAATTGTAATGGCAGTTTGATAACTAAGTATATGTATCATATAAAAAAATACAAAATAATATCTATAATATCAATATTTTTTCTCTAGTAAATATGTTAAATAAATATATAAAATGCTACATAACTGCCAAATGCTACAAATTTTAGGACTGGTCTTTAAAGAACAGAGAACTGTAATTTCATACGGTGTAATTGCATACAGTAGTGGAACACTAATTTTTTTTACTGAAAAATACTGAAACACGGTATGATTTAAAAAACCATACTCTTAGTGCTTAAAAACAGTTGAATGTAGACTGAGAAGATGTCATCATTCAGTGACTCGTGCTCACTTAAAATTGTTGGGTAAATTTAAATATGGTGGTAGAGACTTTTTAATGAAGACAGAAAAATTAAACCAGTCACTGCCAGGAATATGTGAAGAACTAACTTTTTGGATTAGTTTCTGTAATTAAAAATAAAAAAAGCTCAGATTGAAAACCTGGGGATGGCATGCATGAAAACAAACAACTTGTTTTCACTTTAGATAATTTTAACAGCAACAACAAATAGAGCAGAGTTGGATTTTAACCAGAATTTAGAGGTGGTACAGTTTTTCTGGTTTACTGTCATAGTGTAATGGTAAAGATACTCCTGCTGGATGCAAAGGATTTCTTTTTTATCTGTCTGTCCTTCCTCTTAGCATAACATTCATATTTTCAGTCTGCCTCTGAATGCTTTCTGTTACTGATTTACAGGCTCCCCAAGGAAAAGGATCAAACTGAAGCACTGTGCCTGTGTTTGACTCATCATCAGGTTTAGGCAGACAGTTACAATGCCTACATTTGGTAATTTTCATTAACCAGAGTAGAGCAGACAGGGATAGAAGCAACAGTACCCTCATCTCTTTGTACTCTCTCTGTTTTTGAATGCTGCACTCCTCTCTCACTTGGATGAAACAAATCTTTTGCTAATGTGGTCCAATTTTTCAGGTATTTTTTTATCTCTTCCAAATCCTATTTTTTTTTAATGAATATCTGACATCCCAGCCTGAAATGAACTAACACTGTGTTGGTATAAAAATTGTCTTCACTTAGACTCGTGTCTTTGTTTAAGGAAAATAAGTAGGTATGTCCTTCCATGGGAGTCTTATTGCCTGCTTGACTGCAGGTACCTCTCAGAGGAACAGCCAACTTTTACATGTATTCATGTCAGGCTAAAATATTAATTCTTTCTAAAAAGTATGCTCCAAATTACATCTGTTTCTCTTACAAATACTGGAGATGTGAATGCAGTATAAGTGGTTGATAAAGTCTTGAAATCCTGATGTTACACTTTCTGGCATTAGTTCTGTGTTTAATATATTGCAGGAGACTGAAGAAAAATAACTCACGTGCTTTCTAGTGTAGAAAATCAAAGCAGATGTTGTTAAAACTACATGTAAAAACGTGAGAATTTCAAAGGGACCCACATTTGAAGAGACAGAATACTTCAATGAGAAAATTCTCATTACTAGTAATATTCCATATTAATTTTCCTGTCTTCAGAGAATGTGTGGGTAAGAGTTCTTTCTGTATATAAGACTTCTTTTCCTTCACTCTTTGCTGCCTGGCTTTCTGGCTACCTCTTCTCGCAGTGGAGTTAGACTTTTGTGGAAGTCATTCACCTGCTGCCTTGCAAGTATTCTGTGACATCTCCAAATAAATTTTGCTCAGTTGCTGGCACAAAGGGTAGGATGAACCATCTGCCAAACACAGACCTCGACAGACACCTTTGATAATCAGGAAGTGGCAAAAAAAACCTATGAGAAAAAGAATTAAATTATGTTTAAAGAGAATGTATTGGTTTTGGCAGACTACTGAAGCATGAACTTCCCCTTTAAACTATCTTTAGGTTAGTTTAGGTGCTGCTTTAGGTTGTTCTAATGGCATTTGTAATCTAGTATTTTGTGTAAATTAATAATTCAGTGCTCAAAGGCAAGAAGTGACAGGCTACTCCTAACCTTCTCTCAGTTTTAAAAGGCTGAAGAAAAAACTGGGTGTCTGTTATCTTCACAGGGGAAGCTTGTGTACCTTCCCTAAGTGAGAACCAATTAATGCATACTGGTTGTGTAATTGACAATTTTCACATCCTCTGTGGAGGCTATTTTTTTTTTCTTTTCCACAAAAAGCTCTTTTTCTCTACACAGTATGACAGTAATAAAAACCAGTCATGTTCCCTTCTATTTTTAAAAACA